CATAAACCCCGTACACTGGAAACGAGTCCGGTTGCGACGTGTTGGATCCGTTCAACATTCTGCGCTTCATCATGAGGGGTTGGGCAAAAAGAACGGCAGTCGGAGTTTGCCATCATTGTGGTTATATACGATCTTATACACATCAATTTACATCAATTTTGTTCGAGAATGTGAGCTCCGTGAGGTTTAGGAGTACTACAGTTTAACGCAAATTCCTGAAACCGTTTTATTAGTAATGAAATAACAATAAGAGATTATTTCATCTGTTTTCATGGATCAACCCGTAGCTCAGCGTTTGGTCGTTAAAACGACTGGAGACTTTTAGACAAACGATAACCACGCTGACAAAGTTCGAAGTATGGTAAGCTGCTGTCAAAAGAAGACATTTATAAATAATTGGATCGTTACTGGTTTGAGCCGATTAATTACTAAAAAGTAAAGACAAGAACTATTATTTGGACAATCTGTTGCATAAATAGTCCTATGAGCCAAGCGTACAGCAGAAACTCCTAACTCACGAACGCAGTTTCAGCTAAATGACGGCATAAAATAACCAATACATCAATTACAGCAGAATAATAGCAGCTGATAAACATCAGTTCATTAGTTTTGGTTTACTTAGAGCCCTATATATTCCGCACTATCCTCCCTGAGAAAATGTCTGCGTTTATACCCCAGCACTGCTAGCTGAGCTAACTCACATTTCATCATACTGTATCACAACGAAGTTTATGTTATTGAAATCCATTAACTGAGTTGTTTACTTACAGGCTGCGCCTTGACTGCTGTTTGGCGAATACCCTGATGCATAATGTCTGCCATAACTGTTTTCGAATCAGTTCATTTCATTTCTCTTGCTGATCACTAGTCATAGTTACTACTTGATCCATGTAACCATGACCCTTCGTCCACTTTTTAACCAACTTCAAATCCCAAACATTATTTGCAATCCGTCATCCGAATCGCTCTTCAAAACTTGCTTCGGAACAGAAAATCAGCGGTCACAAAGCATTCACCTTTCCACAGCAACATCTTTCTATTCTCTGCATACGGATAAAATTGTCACTGCTACGATCTCCTGTCTCAAGGTGTAGTGGCCTATATTGACACTTACACTATTACTTGCGCTGGGCTTTCTACTGTAACTGCGTTGACAATCTGCACTAATGTGACAGTCTGTTGACACGAGCTGGGCCATCATGATTACGGAATTTGACTGCATTTGCAGCTAGCACACAGTGGCGTTGTCGGCTGTTTCATTTTAAATTTCAGTTCCTAATTTTGCATTTGTTTAACACAGGGTACAATATTAATGGTTGGAAAACATTGACTGCACTCTTAAATGCCCTGTTTCCCTACTCATGGCAAGCCTTTCAGGAGTGGATCGTGAATGACTTCCATGTTTTATGGAAAATGTTATTTATTCGTAGACTGTTGGTATATATGGATGGAGAGCTTTGAAGAGATGTAAAACATGATGTACAGAGGTCATTTCATTTATTTGACCCTTCCTGTGGCTATGTAAGCGAAAGTATACTGTTGCTTTTACACAGCCCCAAAGACATAATCCGAGACGACATATTCTCTATAGGTGATCAGCCGACGAACTTACAAAATGTTGTCGCTTGTTTCAAAAGGCCGCATCCTGATTCCAAATTCTTAGCTGAAAAATGACCTAACAACCAGCTGAGTTTCTTGTATGCAAATCTAAAGAGAAGAACAGGTGATCAACCAAATTAGGGATATGCGAGACACCGTATTGGATGGGGTAGTGCACACATTTTCAAGGCTCTGTGCCACTCAGCATCAAAAGAACAATGGTGCATATGTTGACCAACTGTGCACATAAGATCACGCTGCGCGAATACTGTGAACTGAAGCGAATCAAACACATTCTTCTCAAAGATGGTTACCCAGGGTGCTTCATTGACACGCAAATGAGAAGCAACAGCCCAAGATTGCAACTGCAGCCAGCTGAGAATCAACGGCTTCTCTCTACGAATCCCCTTAATGGTGACCAAGCGACCGCGGTCTGTACACATAGATTCAAGTGAACCTTCAATGCGGTTCCAATTAACTTGGATTTTACTGGAAAGGTCTTAGCTGTCCGTAGATCCAAAGACGAAGTGCCTGCGCAACACCAGTCAGTAATGAACTACTGGATCACCTGTTCCTGTGATGATAAGTATACTGGACGTACCAACAAACGCTAAGAAACATGAAACAGGGAAGATCTGCGGAATTCGACCATCAAAAAAGTAACAGAAGCGATTTAAGTGGAATAAGCGACAGTCTGCTCAGTATCACACACCGATGTTACAAAAGTAGAGGGTTCGAAATTCTGCGTAGAATACCATCCCAGTTGAACCATTTGTTGGGGACACAAGTGCATGCTACTGTTGAAGCGGTAAGTAGCAGATGGCAAGTTCGGACATCCGCGTCGAAAAGAAGATCGTACAAGTATTAAAACTTTCATTTCAAACAATCAAAAGAGAAGCATCAGCTTCTGCCCTGCAATACCACGTGCCGCCAATCACTTGACTAGTAAACGCGCGTCATGAAAACAGTTTGATGTTTTTGCTCAACGAATTTTGTTCTGTACCCTCTGATGGACTTTGCCTTTGTCAAGTTATATTTCGATCTTAAGCCTGATGAAGAACAAATCGAAAGTGATTTTCTGCCAACACTGGTTTTGAGATTGTTGAAAAACTGGAACGTTCCTCGTGCTCTATTTATTCAGGGTGGCGTAGAGTCTGCATCGTACAAGCAAGAGTTTATGATCAATTTATGCTGTTCTTTCACATGTGGATGTCTTACTGTAATACACCAAGAAAGAGATGAAACGTCATCAGACTACTAAACTGATTAAATTTGCTAAGGATTAATGATGTATAATACATAATGATGCGGGGAACTATTCTTCGTGTCAAACGGGCAAATTGGTGTTCGAGTGCACTCCTTTGCCACGTTTAAAATGTACGAAAAATTTGCTTCCATTAAGGCAGTAATGATGTGTTAGTATACTCCGCACGAAACCGTATTTATAAACTGAGCGCCTGCAAGCAGAGAGGAGCATTCAACACACCAACGTCCGTCTATGACGAAGAACTTGTCAGTTCCAAGTCATACTATAGCATCAAATTGTTTCTAGCAGCTAAAGTCATACTGCACTAGTAAACCAAGATTTCTTATATGTTTTACTGATGACAATTGCAGACATCGGTTCCATTGACCACATTAAACTGAGAAGAATTTGCAGGAGTATTTATAAACACCAACACGCTGTTTGACTTCTATGGTTGTTGCTCGTTAAACACACAGACTACTCAGCAAAAGGGAAAAATGTGAGTTGGCCACATGTGCAAATCGAGTCCTGAATGCAAGTAAGGAGCGCAGCCCCACTACTACTCCAAAGGTAATATGTAGCGGACAGGATTAGGACCCGACAATACATTCTGAACTATATTCCAGAGTTGGTGTTTCTTTAGCAAATAACGCATTCACATAAAGACATTATTTCCAAACGCGTAGGCACATACGATTCAAAAGTGCTGGTGCACACCGAGCGGTTCTGACAGTTACCAACGTGATGCAAGCGTTTAAAGTGGCTTTCAGCTGCACCGTTAACCAAAGAATGCACTAATGCCCACTTGCTGTAAATGTGCTAACCAACACGATAAATGTTTTTGGAAGCAAAATTTGGGAAGATCCCCAAACAATATATGGATTTTACATAGATTAGCTTGCCAAACGATAAGATGTAGGTCTTCCCTTTGCCCAATTAGGCAGAAATTAAAAGTACCTCATTAAAATCTAAAAACGCTTGAAGTATCTGTCGTGTTGGATTTTTATTTGCTGCATTACAGAGGAAGTGGCCAATTTGCATCTTCCGTCATCAGCATCAAATTACAAATGTGCAATCACCGTCCATGGTTCTGGACCGTTTTACTTACGAAAATCGCTTAGCGAGATGTTTTGTAATGATGGGGTTGATGCGTAAGTAATTGGACTGCAAGCTATTACAGGCGAGTTATCTTTACCCGCGCATATGCGCCCCTGCTATGAACATTATAAGTAATATTCCTTTAGTAGTGTATACAAGTAAACCTACATTTACGTGTTAGAATAAATCTATAGCCGGTAAAATGTAGTCGATTCCGGATTCTTACATTCGTAACGCCTAAATTGAATAAACTAGTGGTGGTTGTAATACGGCTTTAGTACTCTGGCTGCATTGAGTAAGCCATGGCGTGTGTGGTAACTAAATAGTGCATGACAGGTATAAAGAAAATGAAAAGATTTTCTGGATATCTATCTGCAGCAGGGTTATTATTTTTTCTCGTTAGCGGAAAAATTAACGATCCAACCTTTGTTCAAATATTCATTTATTTATGTGAAAAGATTGCAGTGTAAAGCATACGATTCTAACTGACTTCCCCTACAGCCTAAAGAAAAGTAAAACTTCAGACTTTTTAAGTTAGGTGCATGCTTTCAACATATAACAAACAAATTCATCTCATAGTTTCATCAGTAACACAAGGTACATGCGCGTTTGTCTATCTTGATAATTCTAGATGGAACAGCTCAATTTCTACAGAGTTTGTCCTATTGTTAAAATGTTCAGGTGTCGAAACAAGACCAAGTTAGAACACTCCTTGCATTGCAATACAAGGTACAGCGTTCCACTTTTAAGACTCCAACTGTCAGCAGAATTATAAAAACGGCGACAGCAGCGCATATTCAAGAGTTGCTACACGAAATAAGTGAGAAAGTTCGGCAGCCTATGAAAGCTATTTCTTAAATCACAACGCAAACAAACCTTTATTTTTCTCTCGGTCCGGAACGTTTTTAGAAAAGGCCTATCTTCGTTGTCATGTTCTCATTGCCGTATCGTTTTTTCACCCGAAGATGGTTGCTTATGCGCAATTCAGTCTAAACTGGACTCAGTTTTGCATTCCCGGATGGTCTATAAATATTGGAAGAGGACCCACTGGACGCATGTATTCTAGCGGGCAACATGGTTGCAATCAGCCTAGTTGTTCTCCTCGTATTGTGCAATGGTGTTATTCCACACTACGAAGGTAAGTTTACTTATGTGGTTCCAGAAATAACTTGTTCTAACAGGCTTTTCCCTAGTTTAGCAGGTTTAACTTATTTGATTCACCTGTTAGTTGACACTTCTATTGTCACGATTTTGGGAGTTGCAACTAAAGATTGCACTGGTAGATTTGATAATGCTAATAATTTGTCTGGTAACTAAGTGTGTAAACTTATCTAGTCTGTAGGATTTAAAGTGTTATCGCTTCATATCATCACAAATAAAGTTAGGCTGATAATCTATGTTTGTTATACATACATTAAATAGTATGCGTTTCTGGACCACAGCAATGCCAGAAGGATTTAGAAGAAAACTAAGCATGTGGAATAATTCGTATAGCAAGGCGATTGCCAGCTCCTACCTACATAACCACAGTAAACTGTAGCATAATTAACGAAAGCATGTGAAACGACGGAGTCGACTAAATCCAATATTACTAATACCGCCGAGCCCCCATAACGCGAACGGTAGCTTCATTCCATTTAAATTACGCACACAAATACACAAGCATCACACTGACGTAAGGAGCAACTAAAGTTGACGAAAACTGCACCACAAATAAGCTGTTAGTTTGCAATGGTGTAGCGTACTGGAAAGAAGATATACCTCAATTAATTATTAATTCTACCTGTTCCCCTTTTGTTTCTGCAACCCATGTAATGCTAGATGTCAAACAATAACTGATAAGAAGGACAGCTGCTGACGGAGGCTTTAGGGCAAAAGCACAAAACGGAACGGTGACGGAAGCCGTTTCTCATAACGGCCAGTGGCTAATGACTTCCAACAAGTTCCTAGGGTTTTCGCATCATTTAGATTGCAAATGGTTAGTCAGCTAAACGTAATGATTTCGACGACACTAAGATCACAAAATAGCATCCTATGAAGGAAAGTTCAGTAGAGCGATTAGCAGTTTTCATCCCTTTTTCCAGTCTTTCCACCTTAACAAAGGAAGTTAATGTGCGCCACAATCTTTCGAAAAATATCATGTAACATTTGCTCACCTAAGCCTACATTCCATAAGTTTAGAAATAAAGCAGTCGGATGCTGTTGTTACTATTACCTATCTAGCAAAAGCGTTTAAAGCTGTAATTCTTTGCGCTAATTGCTCCTAACACTGGAAACATATGATAGTTCATTTAACCCTAGGCATTTCCGCTTTGTCAGCATCGGTGGTCAGACTACATGAACAGTAATGTGAATGAAGTTGTTGAAACTGAAGGTGGGGCACTTGGGTGCATGGTCAATTCTGGTGGTTGACTAGAGTTGTAAAAGCTTATGATTCCAATTATGGATGGGCACTGGTAAGATGTTTTGTGCAGCACCGGATCCATGTCCTTTTTCTTGGAGTCGCACAACAGAATGTACAGAATAAACGTCCAAGTATTAAAATTTCGATGCAAGTTCCAAGGCTCGTGGTGTTGGTGTCGAGCAGTGGATTGCATACCAGTGCATGAAAGTACATTGAGTAAAATCTTCGGTAGACAATGATAAAGCACCAATATTAATAAACTACAATTTAAAATTTAACACGTTAAATATGATCTTCTTTATTTGTGATAAATTTGTTGTATTTTCCGGAATTTGACACAGCTATTCGTTAGTGATATCAAACATAAAATCAATTTGGGGATACGAGGTTACCATCTGCTTACGATGTCACTGAAACACAATTGCCTTATCCCCGTTATTTCCCGACAAAACTACCTTTATGCTGTCAACAATCAATGGCGCTTTTACAGCCTAGATCCAACTGACCTCAATTCCATAAATGACCAGCAAATGCCTATATATTTTTTAACTAGACTTACTTATCTGTTAATAATTTTAGTAAGAACATGACGTAGCTGCGCATTTGGCCAAGCACCAGTGCCTAATACAACTACTTCAAACTAGGTTGCCGAGCATAATTTGAAAATGAATTCCAAACCGTCAGATCATCTTGAGAATATACGCAATAATGATGTTAAGCAAGGTGACAGGCAACCAGAAAACTACTAAAAACCTTTGCAGTTTCTTGTAGATTGCGTATCTTATGTTGCCTGTTAGTGGCGACAGTGCCAACCTGCAATGAAGTCCCCCATTTATGGGTTAAAGTTATACTCCTTATCGTAATTTAAACAAGGAATTAGCTTTTAAGTGCTGATGGTTTCAAATATGCAACTCGTCAGGATGACGTGATCTACCACTCGAAGTACGCAAAATGAAGGTTTTGTGTCTTCCCTTTTTGTTTTCGCTAACTCTTGGCGTTGACAAATAAATGCTGTGACCGTAGTAATATGAACTCAATAATTTTTCCTAAATCCGTGGAATCATAAGTTTACATATGTTACTTATTCGAGCATGGAGATAGTGTGCTGAGATTACTCAACTGCACCTCAGGTTTATCATCCTGCACTTCCTTCTAGCTGAATAAAAACGAAACGCTTTATGTAGTGGAAATGTTAAACAAAGTAGTGAACGATTACGCTGTGCGACAGGCAGGAGAATTTTAAGCTTTTACTGCCGTGATATAATAATAGCATGTGAAGGCAAAAAATATTTTCTGTTTGCAATTTAAATCTGGGACAGATGGAAACACTTAGCTGTATTTGCATCGCAACGAATTTCGGCAATAGAATTACGCACAGTGGATATTTTTATGTAACGGCTTTCAGCTAATGATGATAATTTCCTTCTCCATATGAGCGACTAACTCGAAAGGTTTGTATTTACTCGAACTGCTTTGTGCAATCATAGTCATTTAATTTGAAGTCCGAAGCTCCCCAATGAGGTTTTGGTCAGACTAGACTGTTACACATCAGGTACATAACGATGATTGCTGCATGTCGTTCCTGCTTTCCTTTTCAGCCAAGTTCATTGGAAGCAACGAAGATTGGGGTAAGTTTTGCAAATTATGCAAAATGTTAAGCAGTTAGGTTTGGAATTTATCTCCCAGTCGGCTGCACTGCTGCAATGAGATAGGATATTGATTTTTTATCTCCAAATCTGTCGTCCACATATAATCTGGCTTACGATACAATATTCTACGGTCTCAAAATTTATCTGGATGTCCGTGCCGCATGGTACATTAGATCACCTCGAAGAGCCAGTGTGCACAAAGTGTTTTACTTACTCAACCGATCTTAAAGATCACAGAAAGACATTTAACATACATCATTGAGGATTATGCGGGGCAGGCGACAGATAACACGCTAAATTGATAGCGGTATTTTTCAAGAACGTTTTACATTCACATTCATCAGATGTCCCCGATAACAGTGTAGTAGAACTCACATGACACTGCGTAGGTGCTTACACATAGGTGCTTACACATATCACTAAATTTCCTGAGGAGAGTGAAAGTACTTAATATTTAGCAAGCTATGCTTTGTTGCGACTTTATTTAATGACTAGATAACACTTTAACGCTTCGTTGTTAAGTCGATGATGCTGTATAAAAACGTACGGGAATTGACTGAAAGATTTGATCGGTTTGAAAAGAGGATTCGATCTCGATCGTCTCAGTGGCTGGAGGATAATATGGTACATTTCGCAGTAGGTTGTTGATTGTTAGATTGTTCTAATTTCATAGATGAGGATTCAGCTCTAGTGCAATGAAGATGTCAACTTGATCGAATACCTAGAACCCACCAAGCAACTGCGCTACATTATGAATAAACCAATATCCACAATCGTAATTATGGTTGTAGTAACCATGGCTCGAGAATTCAATATATAGGTCCAATAAACGAATTGGGATGACATGGAGTAAGCAAAACAAACTAAGGTGCAAAATTAGAGCATTTTAAATTCAGCAGCTTAGAATGTTAAAACCGAATGCGCAATGGCATTCTTACTAACTGCGAAAATATAATGGAAGCCCTAAGTAACAAGTTTATTTGGAAAATTCGTAACAGGGCTACGGGAGGTAGCCTCTCTGAGGGGGTACGAGGCAGCATGGTGATAAAGCTTCTCCCCTTGGGAGTTTGTGCTCTGCCTGATGTGCAAGCGTTTCACTTGATTTATCGCCATTACACCCTTGCATTTATTATTGTTACCACAAGGTCGCCTTTATGCGGATAACTGAGCTCCGCACTCAATAGTGCTTTCTTCCTGATAAGGTTATGGTGATATTTTCACTTATGGCAATGTATGAAGCAGATGGCGGAAGCAAACGTCGAGCGTTCTACTACGTCTTGCAACATAATCTTGAAAAGGAGTTTGTGCTTCTGCAGATTTTTCTATTTGCTTGTTTAAAATTGATGTCAAACTCCCCGTAAACTCATCTCAAAGCGACTGCTCGTCTACAAATTTAAGAAAATTAATCAACAACAATTTAGGCTATTTATCCTTTTGCAATTCAAATATATTAGGATTATTTTTCAAGTACAATTAACTATTCCAGGGAATTCATCTCAATCTATCGAGATACCTTCAATTTGCTAGTAGATCGCGAAGCAATATCTCTGTTAGAGAAAGGAGGAAATTATAGTTATTGCTGAAGCGGCTTTGATTCTAGTCCTCCTAGAGATAAACTACTTAACTGAACTAAATGAGGGAACTTAAGAAGAATGCTCGTAACAGCCCAAAGCACTGCATTGGCGAAGGAAACATGCGGCTTCAAGTTGCCGGGTTTTGTTTCCACTTTTAAGATTTTTGGAATAAATGATAAAGCTCAGTACTTCTTCTGATGAAAAATACACTTCACAATTATCTCTATGTTCTCTTGAATCACAGATGTTCCTTACTCCTTTTCGTACGAACCAGATAATGTCACGTGGGGTGAGTGGTGTTGTTTAAAATTGCTGAATAGACAGTAAACGATAAGGTTAGTAAGCAATCATCAATGATCCAGTTGATGAAGTTACAGTAATTCCAGCAAAATTGACCAACTATCTGTTGAGCCCTTCACTAATTTACCCGTTTTGTTTTGTTATCGGTTGTGTCTACCCTGTAAACCTTATGGATGCAGACGCCTGTACTTTGACCACTTTGGTCTAGTCTATTAAGTGTTCAAATTATAATTGCTTGAAGTTATACCTATTTCATAGAGATGCAGGCTGAGACTAGTCACCAGAGACGCACACAATGACTTGGAAGCCTGAGTGTATCCTGGGCTAAGGCACAGCCTACTCTTGCTCATTGCTTGTATTAGGCCAACCCAACAAAGAACAAGGATAGGTAGAAAAACTGAATGTGAGAAGGCCCTAAACACTGGTGTTTAACTCATATTTTTGTAGTTATACCTATGAATTGTTGTAGATGGGCTGCTCTGCACCGAGATGCGTTCAAAATATTGAGATAACAAAGCATTTCCACGCCGTTATTTTGTACGCACCGTGTAGCTCGAGCCTGAAGTTTCTCTAGTGTAACTCCCCAGCTTGCGGAAGATAAAGTGCATCGATGTAACATGCAGTCAAAACAAAAACATGAAGGAGGGGCTACGGATGTTTGGCTTTTATTCCCAATTTTGTCAATCTACAACTGAGGAGTCAAAACCGCAGGAAAGTAACAGGAACAAAATTAGTTCACTCCATCTTGTGACATTTAAGTTTCATTTGTGCCTTACAGTGCTGGGGACTTAGACCGTTTAAAGTTTATGATGACCTTCATTTCATTAAAGAAGGTGCGTTACAAATGCTGTTTAGTCATTTCACCTCTTCCCCGATAGGCGAATATAACTTATTTGTCTAGTTTGTTTTAGATTCGTGAGTATTATTAGTGTCAACTGATACAGATCACAATTCAATTTAATGCTAATTTTGTGTGCACGTGAAAACATTCTCTTTCACCAATCGAATGCTACCTGATCAAAAATCATGCAACCCATGTAAAACCAAGTTCTTTTGAAATATTAACAAATGCTCAGGTTGATGTAAATTTCCCGATAATGTATGTGCAGACATTTAACTGCTTCTTTGTGTGGGCATTTAGCGCGTAAATTCAGTTTGGGTAAATACGATATGGGTCATGCTTATTTAGATTTCGCAAGTAATCACTGTCCTTAATCAAACATAGTTTCATTTATAAAGTGCCCTTTCTAATCATGTTAATATAGGATGACAAATTGATTCCGTCTCAGTTAAAGGTATTCAGAAACCGTAGAAAAATAAGCTGCCTGAAGGCTAGTTCACTAAACTCTCAATGGGAGTTTATTTCGGTTTCAATCAAAGGGTCTTTGTGTATTTAAGGAGTGGGAATTGCAAGTTGGGACTTTGAATCACAGTAATGATTAAATGAATGGTTGCTGCCCTTATTAAACGGTACCAAAATCAACCCATTCAGACGGATTCTCAGATATATGGAGCAAGACAAAACAAAACAAATGAGTGATAAACTCAACACCCAGATGATCACGCATCAATAACCGATTATAAAGTTACACCTAGGGTAGAATTCAGAGAAATATATTGTTGACTGAATACCAGTGATAGTTTCCGTGTTACAGTATGCGTAAGACAGTGCCAAGAAGTAAGCCACTGATTCAAATATCCGTTAACATTCATCACCGTGAGAAGTTTTCATTGCACCTAGAAGAAGTATGCTGCAGAATGCAGACTGAAACAAAACAAGTCGAATATGATGTATGCGCATAAGGCTGTTAAATGGTAGGTTGCAGAAATTTAGCAATCTTTCATCGATGCAGAATCATCGTATTTCGCGATAATATGATAAGTGCAAATTTTACTCTGACAATCTTATGTAACAACACGATAAACATCTAGTTCCACTGCCGTGTTAAACAGTCGTTACATTATGTGTTTAAAGGGGTTTCTGTAATACAGCCATTTCAAGTCTAAACTAACAACACTGATTGCAATCAATGTCTGATGTCTCAGTGCTTCGCTGTGTATTTAAAGCTGCCTCCTATGTAGTGTGGGTAAACAGAAGTGATGCTTGTTTGCGCAGCATAAATATCGGGAGTGGTAAGCCAGGTTTAAATCCATGCGCTAACAAGCTCCACTTGTGGCGCCATACGCAAGTGATTGTATCTATTCGATTTGAATTTTGATGACAATTTTCTGCTCTTAGCAGTCTAACTGGTGAGCAGTTGTAAACTGCAACACACTAAACCTTTTCAACTGCATGAATGCTTGGCATCGGTATAGCAATATCATTTTTGCAGGCCTGTAAACTTAAGTACGCACTTGCCGAGAGAAAGTTGAAGACTGCACCGTCTACGGACTGTATGAATCAACCGTACTCAATCAAACTACTCTCCAAGGAATTAGGTTATTTTGCGTTGAGTTAACTGAACACATCGGCATCCATTCCCGCATAATCCTCAGGTATTGACAGGATGGGGACGATTAGCTTACTTTAATAAACGGCGTGACAAAACTACTAACCAAGTTCAGGAAATTGGAAACTTAACTACAGAGACCAGACAAGCACTAGCCACTTTAGACAGACTTTAAATACCAAGTTGTGTCTATGAACTTCCTAGTAATTTGTGGTGAGGATTTAAACCTCACATACATCTTCATAAAGCATCTTCACCCCTCAAGGAAGGTGGCTTCGAGTCTTTTACATCAAGTTAAGAGCAATTAGCTTAATATCCACCAGAACCAATCTTCGTCAAAAGATTCATGCAAACATCATCTTGATTTCTCATCGTCACTTATCACAAGTCACCTATAAGCGTGTGACAAAGGTGACAGTACGATGTTCATTACATACATCGTGAAGATGCTTGCAGTTTCCCTATTCCATTTGTTTCTGGTGTTCTGTTTTGTAGCCAAAACAGAAAAGCCAACAAATGCAACCAGCACAAGTGCCACTACTACACCTCAACCAGGTGAGTCCGCTGCCAATTATCATCCATCAGACATTCCCAGTGCGCTACTACTACATTCTGTCTATCAAGTAACATTATTTACAAAGCAAACATGCCTTGGTAACGCCAAAACTGATTTACTGTTTCCCGTACTGATTTGCAAAGGCGAAATAAATAATACTTTGGTAGAACCAAGTTTGTATCGCTTGCTGTTCATGCTAGATGTTCAAGAACCTCTGTTAGACACAAGTTTTGGATGAACTTCGGCAAAAATAAAGCACCAATTTTAGGTTTGCCATGAGGTTGTGAAACTTTTCACAGCTGTATATGAACGTGTACAAATCACAGACGGCTTTTATCATATAACTCGCACTATATCCGTTTTTCCTCTGCAGACTACAGTCATCTGTATCAAGCTATTTCTTCACTAACGAAGCAGGCCACGACGTTCATAAAAAGTGAGTTGTTATGTACCCGTATGCCATTTGTAAGCCTCCAACTTGTCACACTTGGAATATCAGTTGTGTTCCTCATCTCTGCTGTCATAGACCAAATATTACCATGCGTGTTAGCGTGAAACATAAAAAGGCGGTTTTCAAACGGCTTTGAAGCGATCAGCTTTGATTAAAGCATCATCTTTGCTGCAATACCTAGTCATCTTTGGCTGCGTGTAACAAGCTTAGAAATAATCGCCGCTGTATATTATCGAATAAACTAAATCACTCTTGTACTATACCATGTGAAAGAAAGTTTCCGTTTTGTTTCATTCTTTTATGCTAAGCGCCACTAAGCTCAGCACAACCTAGAGCACTAACTTACTTGGATATGCACTACCATTGATTTTAAATAATTCAAAAAACGTACGAAATGCTACCGAATCCGAAGTAGTAACAGCTTCAACCATTTTTGGAGGAAGAGCTACCATTGCCGTAAGATGGACATGTTAACCTCTGCAGTCAATTGACCGAACGCAGGAACGCGATCTTTTATAAGGTTATTGCTGACAATTGAAGACCATATTGTGGCTCACATGCAGAAATAAGGTAAGGTGAGACCCGGCATAGTTCTTGCCTCGGTTGCTTCATAGAAGCTTGCTTATGGAATCTGTCAGGCACCTTGGTTTTCCAAAAGGTTAAAAAACCAAATAGCCCAATTCTTGCGGATGCCTATGTCGCAAGGCGCTGCATTGCTGATAACAACCAAACATCTTTGTCAGGTGTGACGCACCGGTTCTGCCTGTAAAATTAATTATTTCGTTAACTTTTAGAGTGGAACTAATCCGTCCACATACCCAACTCAGATAACCTGTTAATATGCAACTAACACTTTATTGATTTTCGGACACTCGCAAACCCGAAAATCAACTTCTAAAAACCGAGTCAAGCACTGCTCACGGAGCTCAATGGCTTAATGATCCCAGCTCTAACCGCCAAAAAATATGCGCAGAGTATCACTCCCAAATCTGCTACCTATTCATGATGAGTCCAAATTAGAACGAGACACTTAGTCATGGAGTGCATATATGAGAGAGAACCTCGCCGAAACACTGCAGTTAAATGACTTCTAGAAACTGCATGACATTGATCCGTAACGCCAAACTATTCCAGTTAATTAAGCGTGCGGATTTTAACGCGTTCACTTCATTTTCATACAAAAGATACCATTAGCTTCCTATTAACAGCTACTAGAGCATTGCTATCGTGGTCCTATATTGATTCTGTTTATTAACTGATGCATTCTGACATCCTTTTGGTATTTATTAGATAAACGAAATTAAGAAAATATGTTGAGATATAACTTTTGCAAAATGATATCGTCTCATCGGCACCTGTTTCTCAAGCTGTGATATATATCAGTCGCTTACTTGATAATTACTCTGCGGAAGCTCTCAACACAACGGTCCCTCAGTTACGTGTGATAACTCCAATTTGTAGCTAGCCATTATTGATCGAAGAGTTCTACAGCGTCTTGTAAAAATTAATGGGTTATGCTAGCTTAATAGCCGAAAACAGACGTTGGAACTGGATGACGATAGTCTGACATTACCCGAAAACAAACATTCGGATAACTGCTTACTAGCAAATTGTCTTGGCAAACGCATGTGTCGTTGCGTTCCTCTGAGAGAGCCCGTCGAACGGCTGGACGAAGAATAACAAGCTAAAACGCATAAAAGATTGGCTAGTGTGAAATGAAGTAAATTGCATCCCAGCCTAATTCTATCCATTGACCAATGTAATGTTATCTAATTTTGTAAACGCTTATAATGCACAAAGAATGCAGTAAACAAGATCCACTTGTTTGCATAGGCCGTATGTGGTAACAAAGCTATAAGCCACATTTCTTTTCCCTCGTTGTGTTTTGTAGCAGCGTACGTTCAACTTACATTGAAAACAAAACGTTGATCTTTCGCCCTTAGGCGCAAGATCAACTACTGCTGTGTATATATGGAAAGTTATTATACACTGCATCGTTGCATATTCAGTAACAATAACATGTAATAGATAGGCTGCGGATGTCATTTTGAAAGGAAATTCTGTTTTATCTACTTCTTTCTCTCCTGCACGTTGTTCGCAACAAACTAAAGACAGAAATGGTAACTTTCCTTTGTTTTAAATCTTCAACCTCAAGTAAAGCTCATTGCATATATTTTGTCAGTAGAAGGCTATGAAGTTGTTCTTTTTGCGTCATTTCAGTGTTGAATGAATTCAATGATAAAAACTATCGGTCGCTGGTCAGATTACTCAGCCAAATTTCGTGTAAGTGTACGCGACACAGATATAAAATGTCCAGTGTTCAGCCCATGGTTATTGCAGTACGCCTGATTTTCCATATCTATCATTGCACACCACTCCCTTGCAATTTTATTCCATGCAAGATTAGGCCATGCTAGTCAATTTACAAGTAGCAAACCAGCTAGAGTCAAATGTTTATATAATCAAAATATATCGGTCCTACTTTTTAAACTTGCTAACCTAAAACAGTGTAAGACAAATTCTAAAGATGGAGCATGCATACTCCATTTGCACTTACAGCTTCTCTGTCAAACCCATCAGATTTCGAGAACGTATTGCAAACTTGGGTAAAGATAGCTGAGGGTGAGTATAAGAAGTCTGCTTTATTCTACTTCGAAATCAATTTTAAGGCATATATTATGGTGTAATGCGCACCATTTTCTCATATCTGCATATGTACATTTGTATGTTTTTCAGGATCAGAACAGCTCACCGAAAATTTTCTTCAACGGATGTCTGCTCTAGTTGAGCCCAACAGACGTAAGTCTGACTAATGGCTCGTATAAATAAGCTTTGAAGTGCCATGGTCAAAAAATAATCCTTCTATTAACAAGATTCCCCAAATTAAACTTTGAATGTCTTTCCGCTGTGCCAAGCTTTGCTCGTCGATCTCAGTATCGTTGTCTTCCTTGCGTCAGCTGTGAACTACTGGGCCCTGCGTTCCACCCCAACTAAGGTTATCGCCACCTGCGGAGTCAAAATCAGGACGAAACCACGGTCGTGGAGTGTCAATGTTGGGATGAGCAACAACAAAATATTCACTTCACATTCGGTCCTTGTGATCGGAATGACCGAGGTCCACCTCAAGTGAACCGGAGTCTCAATACAGGTCGCATGTAGAAACCCAAGCACACAGCGGATTCTCCAACTCCAACTTTGAATTCGTTTCCACTGTACCAAGCGTTGCTCGCGGATCTCAGTGGCATAGTGTTAATGGCGTCAGACGTGAAATAATAGGCTTTGATTTCCACCCCAGCTTAGGCCATCGTTACATGATGAGTTCAAACCAAGACAAAACCGCGGTCGTAATGTGTCAGTGTTAGGAGGAGCAACAACCAAATATTTCTATATCGGATACGTTCCTCGCAATCGGAATGACCGAGGTTAACCTCCGAGTGAACCGAGGTCTCAATCAGTGTTGCGTGTCGCAACCCAACCACACATCAGGTTCCCCAAATTCAACTTCGAGATCCTTGCATTAGTTGACAGCATTCGAGATAAAACTGCAAACTCACTTCCATCATTAGCATGCCAAAGACATGCCTTGTGATTTAACATGGTTACAATCATGGCCTTATCAATCGCTAACCTCCGGTTACGGATTTTTTCTATGGGGAAAAACAGACTAATTCTTCTATTTGGTCTACATTAGGGATTTGATTTTATTTCGAGTTTCCCGCTTCGGTACGTAAATCCACTTTTCCTAATGATGGCTAGAAATCCGGCTGCAATTTCACCATCCTGGATAATCTTAAAAGCACTTGTTATCAAGAATACTTACAATTTTGACTACTGGCAACTTCAACGCTGGTTACCAAATTATCATTATAAATTATTTGGATGGACTGTCATATGAAAACCAAGGTGAAAATAAATTATATCACTGTGCTTCATAGTACAACATGCTCTGATTGTGCGTGAATTCCTCGATCAAATGGTTTGAGCCGAAAAATCACATTGCGTCCCCACTATTTTCGCTATTGGCTATCCATAAAGGACATCCAATTGTTTATTCGGCTGCAATTGACTAACGAATAAGTAACGGAAAGCATGGACTAAAAGAATTCGAGAAGACCTCTACAGTTTTGTAAAACCATGTCCCCACTTTTGATAACTCAGCAATTCGGTAAGCACTGTCACAACTAAGGTTATTGATAAGCTAAAGATCATGAATTTTTCTAGTGCTCAGGGTTGTGTTTCGTACTTCCAAAGCAGTATCTGTAAGAAATTATATAAGTAATGTAACAACATCAGTTTAAATAAATACTGTCAGTTCACTACATGTTGGTAGTTGCTAGAATGCACATTATGCCTGAGATACAATTCTATTCATAATTTTGGAGATATTTTCTTTAGGTGACTTTTAAGCTAATCCGTACTTAGTCTAACAAAACAGTAACGGGGTTACTGCGAAGAATCCTCTCGTTCCCTTTTGTAGCAGTTGAGCACACAACCGTACTGCTTTCAAACTTGAAGAGCTACCTGGAATCATATATCTCCGGTGAGTTTCCCTAACAGTAATCTTCAGAAACAACGGTGCCTGTCTTCGTTTTTGTCAAATGACTGGAGAAACCGCAAGCGTACGAGTCACTGATGGAAACATCGGAAGCTCTATTGTCCGAACACGTTTCAACATTACTTTGTTATTAACAAAAGCACAGCATCACTATCATCACGCACAATTAGCCGCTAATCAATTCTTGAGTGTGACCTGTTCTCAACACAGCACTTGTTAAGTGAGAATGGCATGTTTATGATTAACCCAACGAAAATTGGGGAAATTAGCAAAAACCTTTCTCTATGAGGCAAGGGAATAGTGTAACAATTGAATAAAACGGATCAAAGTCAAATCTTGACAAGTCCTGTGGGACAGGCTTGGTACATTAAGTAATTTCATGCATCCGTGGACCAACATAATTTCCACATTACCACACAACTATATCCGCTTACCCGATTTCGTGAGGGTTGGTGAGAACAATGTCAGTCTGCACCTTGTTGTCACTCGATGAGCGGAATCCATATCACATAGTGCAGATGGTGAAATGTAGAGTCCATTCACTTTTTATTACAGGTAACAGGAACGTTGAAATGGTGGAAGTCGGAAAAGTGTTTTACGGCTAACAAATCCTGAGAAAAAATAATTCTGGCTCTATTCTAGCTGGCTGTATTAAGTGCCTATTTTAAGTTGACCGCGCTTCATTGTTGTGCCGCGACTAGGTTTATGAAGATTGCGGCAAACGCGAAGATGGTTCTCAAAATTCTGAAATGCCAGAATGAGATTCTCCCCGTGAAATCAATAACTTCTGTTTGCACTCTTTCGTATTTCAGTTGATTGGTATGACGTATAACAAAATCTTAGTTTTGGTATGGATTTATAGTGAGGTGTGAAGTGCGACCCGATTACGTTTCAAACAGCCCTGTCAAAGCAAAACCGCATACTTAACCTTGGGTTGTCCCCTACGCGTTGAGCTTTTACAGAACGATAAAAAAGGTGGAACCACTCTGACGCATTTCTTGGCAAGGAAACAACTTCCCGTTGTGGGCAACGCTTGACACAAATGTTAATGAATAGGCCCTAGTTTTTCGAATGGATTTTAACACCTAACCTCAGACTGGACGGCGATTCACGTTGGATGAAATACGTAGCAACTCGGTTAAAAAGATCCCTTCTGAAACAAATAGACATTACAAGTTAACCGGAAGCAACATTGAAAGCTAAAACCAAAGACCTAATCCCTTAATTTGTCAAGTAGAATAAGTAATGCGGTGACAGGAACGCTGTACTTAGCGATGCCAGAATATAACTATACTTAAAATGCAGATTCGCGAGCAACGCTTGGTGAATTAACAGCATCATTCATTATACACGTTAGCTAGAGGAATAAAACACCTAAACTACTTGGTCGCAATATATAAACGAAAAAAGCTGCAATAGTTGCATGCCAGTTGAGTTACCAGCAACGGATGGGCGTCATTTTGAAAAGCTACAAGCCTGCTCCTAGGCAACAAAAAATTAGTATGTTGTTGTATTATGTTAACAAATGATATCATGGGTGTAGTGGAAGACTAAGAGGGGTGTAATGGAACAAGGAAACTCACAGCACGGGCGCCAGTGAGGTCGCCTCCTAGCCTATTCAGTAACTGTAGCCAACCAAACGTGTTCATCATCCTTCGGTCCCAAACCAGGGAGCCGTGAGGCTCCAACCGAGTCAAACTTCGAAGTAAAGGGCTTTATTCTTCGTGACCAAGTCATCGTATGGCCACTTTCCTCTTCTACCATCCACAACCCCGACGAGCAAGCAACGCACGTCACCAGAGCAGATGGGCTGGCATGCGTAACACGGGGCTGAGCCATCGGAGACTGGTTTGTGAATTAACGGTGCTGAGTGGTTCAGTTCCTTTTCCTGTACCGTAAACAAATCGTCGAACATGCTTATTGCTCACGCGTTGTTCCCATTAGATGTGAGCCAAACTGCGAAGGCATAGATGGTCGAGTGAAACTAGCCTCTTTAGGTTGGCTGATCTAAGTGGCCAGGTGCTGATCTAAATGTGCACGTAAAGCTCGGCGCTTTTTAACGATAAAATGATAATGCAGACTACAAATGTGGTTGAAATTGTACGTCGCAGTCCATTCAAACAACAAAATCTTCAGAATAATATTGCTCTACCAATCCGAGTTAACATCCCGAAAACGATCACATAATGACTAAAAGTAACCACGCACGTTGTCTTTCTAATGTAATACTTACCAAATTTGTAAAAGGATTATACGGTCCTGTTAGTAAAACGAGTGTTGTAACAAAGTTCGTTCAGGATGAAAAGATACCTTGTGAACAGAATAACAGGTGAATGAAAAACCACTTGGGATTGATATAACAAAGAAGCTTTACTGTTCCTGATTAGACTGGCTTAATTTACGCAGGTTTGTAATATATTTTTCGATCTTACGTTCATAAGTGAGTACGTTTCCATTTAAAGGTTAAAAAATTCTTACCGTATTTTTAATACCTTTTTGTGTAAATGAAACTACAGCAACATTCCATCGTATTATTGTAATTTTTGGGTGTACTTGGTTTTGCAACCAGGTTCAACGGGTTTTTTTCCACTCTCTCACTTTCATAGATGTATTGAAACGGCAAGACGTATCGCTTCAAACGGCTTTTGATATGCTGGATCGAGACACGCGTAAGTGTTCTAAGAAAGCTAAAAAGGATAATTAGCGGCCCTAAAGCAATTTTCTGAAAGAACCATGAGGTGTCCGTGCATGCGGGATAATGTCAAAATAGACGGAGTATGATACTATTAGATCATCAACGTTTTAGTCGTTGAAACAACGACGAATTTTGGTGAGGGCCATGATGTCATCTGATTGAAGAAAACGCCTATATTTGTCCTAGACATTCCTGAATGTTGGATGTCCTGCGTAACAAACTGTGGTTTATGAGTATTCAAAATTTTTTATTTTTAAATCAAGTTCGGTTTACTTAGCCATTTTAGAACCATCTGGCAAATGGCAGAGTAGACAGATCTTTGCATATACATTGTTTTACTGGGGATAGGCAGGAATAAAGCTCCACTTCTGAAAGAAAGATAATGACAAGGTTGAGCCCATGTATTAAAGGGCGCAACTAACTACCCACGAATAGAATGCATTGGGTTACAGTTAGTCGAACTCATGGGAAAACCGTTTTCTGGATAAGCTGTGGCTGCCGCATAATTTATCATCTGCGACGTGATTACAACCCATGAGAAAAGTCACTTCGAGATATAGTCGATCTTTCCGTTAGTTCATGTCATGTAACAGTCATGCAATGATACGCAACTCAGCAGGTAACTCGAGGATCTTGCACGAATACTTTTGTACAAGCGCCATTGAACAAATTACAGAAACTTGCAAATCCGTGGGATGAATTTAGACACACTATCACACCAATGGTCCCTGCAAATCAGCCGGCTGAGTCAGATGGACTGTAGTCCAATTAGGTATGAACGAATGGCGCTCCAAGCAGCATTATGGTCAATACGGACTAGGTAGTGTTTAGAATTGAACGAAACCCGGTAGCCTCTAAGTGGACACCAGTGGGCCAGTAGAATTTCTCGGGTAGTTCGATGCAAGTAGATGTGATAATGAAAGGGATTGAAAGGCCATGGAATTAAGATGAACTTAGCAGCTTCGCTACCACATTGTAGCTACCAGATTTTAGCTTCCACATTGGCAAACTTGCGGATGCATCCATACTTCCATAATACAAGCTAGATTTCACTATTGGTTACTGTTGGGGAAATCTCGAGAGACAGTAACACGTCAAACTTTGTCTGGAAAAGAAACATATTCTGCAGCATGCATGCATTTATGGGTCCATAGCATTTTGTCGACGAATATATCAAAGCGAACAGTTTCTGAGAGAAGCGCTGGATGCAACGTCACCTGAGAAATCTCAGTAATTGCTATTCGGGTTTGACGAGCACTGCTGACATGCGTAAGATTTTCAGTTGGTCCTTATCTCCTTGCCACTGCAGTTGGTACAGACACAAATAACATCTGGAAGGTTCAGTAGATCAATTACAAAGTACGCGTTGGTGAGGGGTAGGCAAGTTCCACTCTCATAAACCCTGCTGCTACTGCTAACAACCAGCTCCATATACTATTCACTGCAGACAATAAATGCCTGGTGCTCATCTGTCTGACACACACCGGTTTCGTTGCTTCTACACTTATCAATCCGATCCGACTGTGGCCCAAATAAAACCATAATACAGTCTTTGGGTTGTCTGTCCTCTATGGGTCATTCTTCGATATTTACATGCACCCCAAAGCAACGATTCTGGTTTTACTGCCACTGCCTCTATTTAGCAGACTGATTTAGTCACTAAATTTGTGATCAGAGGGCTCAATTCCCATAGTGCCCAGCAATTGGCTGGAGCCAGAGGTAGCATGCCAAGCTCAATGGTACAAATTGTTTGCATAACTTTGTTTTTCGTTTTTGAGGAATGCTAGTTTTAATAGATTTACAGTTGTAAACTATCATTGCTTTCAGATAGCCTTGTACTGCATTAGCTATGTGGATTATATGTAAGCATGTTACGCTCTACGCAACATATTAGAAAATACAGACAATAATGTGTACTTTGATGTGGTTCCTATTTCAACTCATTACAAAGCTCCGCATTGCCATCTTCATTTTCCAGTGACTAAAGAAGAATTGACTCTACTAGATACTCTCTTTGGGTTCCAGCAACAAATTCAAGCACGTGAGTTCAAACAGTGTAGGAGTTGACATGCAACGACAGGTAATCTCAACCAAAACCGTGTAAGGAAAGTTACAATCTGAAAACAAACTGACTATAGAACAGTGGAGCAAGAGTATAGCACAGGCAACGGGACGAGAAGTTTACATGTTCGGCCAGGATTCCCTGCTTAATTTGCCAAAAGTGCTTTCCGAAATTCACTACTTCTTCTCTACGGACATTTACGTAAACCCAATTTAGCATTTCCTGTCGAAATCGGTTGAGCCGTCAGACATGCATTTTAATCAGCTGTTTTAAACACTTTTGTCTTTAATGTTAAAGGACAAAGTTGAAGGACAATACATCTGTAGGACCTTGACCGGATAACAGCATATTTTCAGAGTTGTCACCACCTGAAACTTGTGTAACATTTTCTACCTAGCGCTAACAAAATGGCAACCGTCAATAGTGCAAGGATAATGGACTAAATGAGGATAAATGGCAATGTGCCTCAAAGTATTGGCTACCGTAAATTTTCTTTGTAGTTGGTTCAAGTGTCCAACTAGTACCGTCTTCTTATGTAAGGAAGCAATCGGTACCTTTCTCTTCGTGTGGATCCATCACGCGCACATCTGATCGGGTCACGCTGATGGCTTTTTCTTTCATAGCTTAGGAATGAGGGGATTCGATGCAGTTTGTTACTGTGAAGATGGGTTGCAAACCTTTCGTTCTTTTGCGAGCGTAACGCAAGTTTACGGCATGTGCGCAGATGGAATATGAATTGTAGCCTCAGGCGAGTCTCATGTGCACAGGTACGTCGTTGTAGCTATCAAAAAATTTCCAACTTGTTAGATGGCGGATATTGTACAACTGTAGCCGAAAGCAGACAGAGTACGACCTCATTCTTTTATTATATATGTAAACTAGAAGAGTAAATCACCTCAGCTACTGTGCAGCAATACCTAAAGGAAAAAATACAACAGTTGTTTGCCAGCTATGCTACCAACAACAGATAGCCATCATTCTGGAAAGCTGCCAGCCGGCTCTCAGACAACAAAAAATTACTACATAAAATTATATTATGCTGCCAAATAAGATCCTGGTAGTAGGGGGAGACTAAAATGGATGACGTGCAATAAGGAAACTCACCGCACAGAATCCAGTGGGGTCACCTCCTAGTCATATCAGCAACTGTAGCCAGCCAAAAGTGTTCCTCCTCTTTCAGACCCAAACCAGGAAGCCGAGGCGCTCCAAGCAACGCCAACTTAAATGAAAGCCTTTACTACTCTCGACCAAATCCTCGCATGCCCATCTATCCTCTTCTTCTATCCACAATCCCGGCGAGCAAACAACTCACTTCACGGGAGTCGGTGGGTTGGCATGTGTAACAAGTGGCCGAGCCATTGGAGCATGGTGCGTGAAATAACGGTGCTGAGTGGTTCAGTTCCTTTTCCTATGAAGTAAACAAGGCGTCAAACACGCTTTTTGCTTACGCGTTGTTTCCACCAGATGTGTGCTATATTGCGAAGGCACCGGTGGTCGAACGTAATTAGCCCCTTTATGTCGGCTGATCTAAGAGGCCAGATTTCGCAAACGTACCGTAGGGTCGAATGTACCGCTGATTTGCACACTCCAACCTTCAAGGCAAGAATGATGTCGCGCCGACGCCATAGGTGATGAAGGATAGCAAAAGCACTTCGAGCTTTTGCTATACGGTTCTTGATTTCATCTTCGATCCCTAGGTCGCTGATACAACTTTCTAGCTAGTTGAATTGCTGAACGACTTCTGGCTGATTCCCACAATGGTTCAGTGCAGGAGATGCTTCCTGCCAATCTTGGAGGAAAGCTCTGCACTTTGAAGGTGCAAAGCAAAGCCCGAAGAGGCTGACAGCTAATTTTTATCTGTCCAGCTCAGCTTGTCACGTCTAGGAGCTGGCAGAGATAACGGCAATATCGTCTGCATACTCAAAGTCAAGAGGTTGTTCTCCGGGTGAAGCTTCACATTTTTAGTCTTGTCCTGTGAATGCATTCTCCAGAACATCGTCAATATCAAAGTGGTAGGGAATAGGTGACAGCGGTCTTCGTTGTCTCCCACCGCTGGAGATACTGAAAGGCGGGCGACAACTTGCCACAAGCCCTCACACTGCGCAATAACATTTACAAGAATTTCGAGTACAAATTTCCTTAGCAGTCCGTACCATAGGTCAAGTCGATCCACCGAATCGAAAACACTTTTGACGTCGTGGAACACGACAATAGTGGGTCGTCAATATGTGTGACGATACTCCAACTGCGGACACGAAATAAGATCTAGTCGATGTAGTCACGACACCGACGAAACTCGGCCTGCTCTTCACGGATCTGGCTTTCACTTGCTCCAGTCAGTCTGTAAAGCATTAAGGAGGCAAGTAAGTTAGAAACGTTGGAGATCAGACCGATTATACTATTTTTGCCGCATACCCAACTCGAACCTTCTTTGAAGATCGGTACAGTAACGGAGCGGCTCCTGTCCGTTGGGACAATTTCCTGTCCCCTCAGTTTCACTATTATCTTGCGTAAATCATCCAAAAATGCAGGACGTTCGAATTCGAAGAGGGCTGGATAGAGATCATCTGGTCCCGCGGCTTTATTCAACTTTAACAGTCCGATCTCATGTTAGACTTATGAGCGAGAGGGCAGATCCAAGTGGACAGCCCAGGGAGCATAGCGATCATTAGCCGGTGAGATATCTAACAACTCTGGCCGATTAAACTGCCTTTCAAAATGCTCAGTCCAATACTCTAAGCATTTCGACAAGTTATACATAGGCTGTCCACTCTCACCATAAATTGTTTCTCTAACACCAGGTCTCCTGCTGCCCATTTCCCGTGTCAGACGGAATAAATTTCGGTAGTTACCAAGTGCAGCGGCCAGTTCCATCTCTGACGCACACAGAGACCACCAGGATTCGCGATCTTTCTTCAGGCTGGCGCGAAGTTTTGCCCGGAGTTCTTTGCGAGTTTCAGTGTGTTCGCTTCCAACCGGAATGTGCCGGCGAGCATCGATAAGTTCCAGTGACTGCGAATAGACCCTATTAGACTTACCACATGAGGAGTGGCCTACTGCCATTAAGGTCTGATGAACATGCGACCAGTAACTTTCGACTGTCTCTAGTGAGCGCTTACTGAACCCGCATTTTAGTGTACTTCGATACGCATTCAGAACAGCTGGCTTCGTCAGTTTGTTGGTGCCAGTACGCTCACAGGGTCGTCTTGGGCGTCCGCCAAAGGGCATCCGTAGGTCAGCACATGCAAGTACATGGCCGGTGTCCACACATGTGCTTCAAATAAAGCGACGGTTTTTGACGCTGCCACTGCTGCTTTAACTGATTGCAATGGGATTGATTTGTGTCCAAAGTTGGTTCGAGGCTGGTGGACGCCATGTCACACTACAGCGGGTGCTGTTTCGGAAGTTAGTGCTCGCAAGAAATAATCGAGCATCCTCACACAAATGAAGTAACCGCTCACCGTTAACCTGACGGGAGCCTACACCGTGCTGACCGCCCAGATGCATTTCATCAGTGGACAACTTTCCAACTTGTGCTTTCAGATCCCCCGCCAGCACAACAGTGTTCGTGCTTCTTCTGTGGCGAAGGAGCTGGGTCAGTTGGCGGTAGAAGTCGTTTTTTACCAAAGCATGACTAGAATTTTTGGACGCGTTGGCATCGATGACGAATCCACACCCATTATTCCCGCGCGACTTCAAAGCTTTAAACGAGCCAGCCAATCGGACCGCACACATCCGGTTACTGATTGGGATCCAAGCAACCAGAGCAGCTTCAGCCCGCGGACTACGGGCGATACCAACCCCAGCTTGGCCGGTGCTCGAAGCTGCAGAGTCACCGGATAGGAGCAATTAGAAAATACTACTGGTGTCAACTGAATGGGATGGCGGAGTGTGTATAGGGCTCGAGTCTTGTGGGCAGGTCTCCGAAAAGCAGCAAATATCGATGGAGAGGGTCTCTAATGTTCGGGCGAGTGTTGCCTGTTGACCGATCTGTAGCAACGTGCGTACATTTGAGGCATGCCAACCTGAGGAATGATCGTGGGCTCCAAATGTAACCCGATAAACTGAGGTGGACTGCTTGGTTAGATATGGGCTTGTTAACAGGACAGGAGTGGAGCTACATGTTTCTATGGGAGTTAAAACTAAAAGATAAACGCTTAGTAACGCATTATGGGGCAGGCCAACAATCAAAGGGGTTGAAGACTGAGGGATAAAATTGAAGTTCGAACAGGACGAGAAGGGTGAAAAGGTGTAAGAGGGGGAATAAAAAGACGGAAGGGCTTAAGCAGTGTGACCTAGTGAACAGCAAATTGGCAGTTTGACAGAAGTAGTGATTAGGCTACAGCACAAAGCCCTAAGATATGTAACATTTACGTTGTAGATTTGTTTTGGAGTGCGCGCCTTATGTATTTGCTCAAATCGGTACACAAATCCGTACGCTGCTAACCCGCCACATAGTGTCTGACTGCTACACAGCTTCTAAGTATGTAATAATCGTTATCACGCGTTGAAATAACGGACATATCAAACATCCAACGTGGACAATTGAAGATTGGTGGGGTATCTGGCTTGATCAAAGAATTAGTAAGAATAGATGAAACGGTATTCTGTTAACTGTCCATCTTTCTACTCTATTAAATCCTGTCAAGACTGTCAACATCAGCCTCTTCATTTATGTCAAAAGATAAACCGAAATTATCTTCATACAGTGTGTATCAGCAGTTGTGCAAAATTGGGCGCTGCTCGTCCGAAAACACTGCACACCACGAAGCGTTTCGACCTCATTTGATCCAATCAGTTAGACATAAAAGGCATTGAAACCAGGACGGTTGGAATAATAGAGGAAGCCACTACCTCTTTGTCCAATGTGATCAAGTATGCAATCGTGCTTTGAGTACTTAAAGTACTCAGAGAATCACACACTTCTCGGTTAGCAGTCACCCCATTAAAATCAATAAAAAATGCAACCAAAACAAGGCATATCTGAGGACATGAAATTACCGTATAGGTTATAGAGCACCATTAGATCCATCTAGACTGGATGGATGGTGTATATTATATATAAACGCGTATTTATCCTTTCCTTTTAACAGATTCCTTTAAAACGCTGAATGAATATGTCGATTTGGTTGACAGCTTGGTGGCGGTTACCAAAGGTGAGTTACAGGTTGACAGAATAATTACTAATCACATAATTACTAGTGAGCATCCCCACGTGTTCAATATCTTCCTCGTGATATATATATATATATATATGTTGCAACACGTCTGATAGTACAATTGGTATAATGCCACAGTGTGTGGAAAATACAAAAAACATACTATGCAAACGTTGTCAGTTCTGTGACTGCCATGACCGTTTCGACCACCATATTCACGTTCGTCAAACTCTAGTCTACCGACCTACGAGTTCAATTCCCCGGGCGAGCACCACGATGTCGGTACGGCGCCTTTTAACCAGAAGGTCGGCCAGTTGACCGAAGAAATCATCCTTAACTGACTCCTGGCTGCAATCTGTGGGAGCGTACGCTGCGACAATGTCTGCTGGCTTCGCGTCTGGACAGTCGAGCTGTTTCAATTTGGATCGCGCATAGTGGACTGTAAACAGGCATCCAGTCTAGTAGCGCGGCCTCGGCACGTGTGCTCAAGCCGATCCCCAAGCCAGCATAACCAGCAGCTTTGGTGGTTGAGTCTGCAGATAGGCGCAAAGTGAAAATGTCAAAGGAAGCCGCAGTTGGTGAGATTGCTAATAGCATCGTGCTAGAGTCCTGTAAACGAGACTCGCTGAGACAGCAGACATCAATGGCCGTAGTTTCTGTAGTGCAGGCAAGGGTTGCCTGTGATCTGCTATGCACCAGCGTCTAAACATTGAAGGTTGCTACCTCGAATTGGGAACCGGGTGCTAGAAATGGCATATAAACACAACTTGGCGCATCCTTGGAACTAGACTCCTGATCCGTATAGCGAGAACGTTCGCCGTAGATGGCACGGTCTTGTGAACTCGAAAACGGTTGGGGAAGACCAAAAATGTGAGTTGAAAAAACCTGGGAGATTGTGCCTAAACCGTGGTGCCGTAAAATCTGGTCTGGCAGCTTCAGCGGCCAGCACCTCGGCCGATGAGAGCAAATAGAGCGAGAGCGGAAAGATCGAGAAAAAAATTGTTGAGACATGGATCCGTAGGTTGTGTGTGCATGGTACTTTCTGGTTGCCCATGTGGAGGAAGTGGGTTGACTTAGGGGACCCCAAAAGCGGGACCCTGGATTGTAAGGATCTAACATGCAAGCCAGCGGGGCGACTGACCTATACTACGCCCGTTGGGAGTCGGCTATCTAGGTAAAATCGCATTAACCCATAAATTGGTTGACAAGCCAGGTTAATATTACTAAATCTTGGGTTCCGAAAATCTTATTTTGATCGATATGATGCTTGAAAGCTTGGTTACTATAGTAGCATGATGCTTAAATGCCAATTAGCAGTCGCATGCAAATGCATTTGTATATGCTTTCTAATTTAATTGTTTGTAAACACTTAAAGAATGCGACTCGTATTGACCAAAAATATATCAAGGAACCCAAATAACTCCTTGTCATCTACATGTTAGTTAATTCATCCTTTCCCTGTAATTAGGAAAGTCGTGGTTGCAAAGTTAAGATTTCCTAGGCCTGTCAAATTTAGGGTATAAAATGAATATTGCGTTAGTTGTCATTCAGTATTCTAAGGGTCCTTCACATTTACTAATCTAATGCCCACCGAGTTTAGCCCACCTTTAGTCAGGTTACGGACTCCTTACTGCTTTGCTAGTAGCTCGATTTGTGCATAGAATGACAGTCATATTTTTCTGTAACTTACGCTTAGCTTTTTATTTTTTGCTGTTTTAGACTCACGCTAATCCAGACTGTTTTGCATTACGCAGTAGACATCCCAAATTGTGCATCATTATCCGTGATACCAAGTTGATGTTTGCGCATCTGCTAATTGAATAAATGCACGCATGATTCTCAATAGAGGTCTTTTACACTTTTCTGAAAGGTCATCTAACCTTTTTCAGTGCGTATGTAAATTGAGCAGCAACCTGTGTGGGATGTCGGAAGTATAAAGTGAAAGAGGGAACGTACGTCAAATGCATATTGCGACTGCAGTTGACTCTACAAAGAAAAACGAACAATGAATTTATACGGTTTAGAGGCGTTGCTTTACAAGTCTTGTGGGAGACTTGGTAAAGATTTCGAAATAAGTATAAACATACTAATAGTTAAATTGTTTGCATTCTAAATATATTAATAAGAACTTATTGGTACCCTTGGTTCAAACGAACTCGAGTCAGAAGCTGCATATTTTTGGATATAAAATAGGACGCTTGTTGAGCCGGAGCCTACATTCTCCTAAGACAATGCCTTTGCTGGCCAGGCAAAAAGCAAGACGTCGATATACATTTCCAGTGGGTCAGCAATTCCAACCCTTAAAAGCGGATATTTGGGGATCCACGCGACAAGCACAGCTTTCCCAGGGTTCGAGGGTTGTTATCAGGAGTCAGTCACTGTGATTAACTTTTTGTGTTAACAAGAGGTAACTACCGAAACTAAGTGTCGACGACAGTATTTTACACGCGTAAATAAAACAACGGCAACTCCCGATAAATGGGAGAGCACAATAATCCGTGAGAGTAAAAAATAGCATTCCGCTGTCAACAGACCAGGTTTAACTTCACCTGAGGTAAAAGTCTGAATATTTTTGGATTAACTTAGGATCCAGAAGGTGCATGTTTTCTTGTGCCATGCATAAACAAATGATTTAAAGGACAGAAACAACTGCAGAATATGCATTAGCTGAGAGAAATAGGTGGAGATCGGGAGGAAACTACGCCCGCTACTGTCGCTGGTTCACTGAATTTTACAATCAAGTATCCCGATCACCTGTGGAAGCCAAACGTAAGAAGCCCTCAGTCTGCCTAATTCTTGAAAAAACGATTCCCTTTTTTAAGGCAATGGCTTTGTAGTGAAGTTGAAACATTCAACTGTCCAACATTATACAAAACTGGGTTTTTGGTTAAAACGCCTTGTAATTGTCTATTTATTTGCTTGATTAGGAGTCCTAATTAGTTGTGCTCCCCCAGTGCGTCCTGAGTTGCACTTCGTCTGCTTTCGCATATCTGCTGTCGGTAATAAAATCTTATGTTAGCCACTTTCACAGTTCTTCGTATTCTCGTATTTGGCACGCATCTTATGTTAAAGCGCCTGCGAATGGTATCCGAATAATATCCTACAATATCTGAACTGGCTAATCATACGCTTAGCAGTCTCGTAGCTTGGCCTTGGACAAGCTTTCAGTAGCAAAAACTGTACACCGGGACATACCAACTCGTCAGGACAACAGCAGATTAAAAGCAGTGCTGTAGAGATTGGGTGGTGACATGTAAACCAGAGCAGATCTTATGACTAAAGCACTTTGGAAAGTACGTTTGCATAGCAAACTATTTTGCCCAGTTTCCATGCACTAGTGTCGTCTTAATTGAAAATGAACTAACTCGCAGGAATGTTTAAAATATCTATTTATGCAAGAAAGTTAAGCATGCTGCGTGCAATGTCTACACACTTTTGTAGATAAGCAAACTTGCGGCACGAAAGCTGTTTTGAACTTCCTTCTAGATTTGGTGGATTCTAAATAAGAAGTCATTTCGTCGACCTTCGACACGACTATATTACTGAGTTGATTATAATTTATCGTCTCTCCGTCTAGTACCTGGCTAAGCTCAGTGGATATCTGATATGTTACTGTGTGTTCTCGGAGTAGCCAACCGTAGCGTCCATTAATCACACAGTTCCTTCGGTGTTCACTACAAGGAATGTGATGAAACACATAGCATTCTTGTCGTTTTCGCACAAACGCACTTTATCCAAGTGTACCATGTCTGGACAGGGAAATCGACCTCGTTCACCCAGATGTTGAGTATCAGAGAGAATTTAAAAATCTGAGCGTCTTTGGTGAACGAACATTAAAGTTGCCGCTTTTGAAACTAGCTCTAGCTATCTGAAGAACCGACGCACCTTGCATCTGTTTACGAAGGGAACTTTTCACAGAATCGGTTTGCAAGTTCTGCGCGCAAATCCCATGCATATTTACTTAACGAATACAAAATTCCTGGCAGTTTTTCTCATTAATTGCATAGTACCATGTTTCATACCAACGCATTCTATGTTTTTTCGCGGCCACCTTGGTATACCTCCTATCAGTCTAATTACTTGATTGCTTGGCGTATATTTAAATTGTCCATGAAGGATAAAAATGTATGGTGACTACAACTACTCGATAGGTAATGGAAGCTACGAATAGACAAGGTCCGATTACCAAACTTTGCCAAATTCCAAACTCAACTTAAAGTAAGCCCAATATATATGTTCCGACCCCAGTCTTCAAGCGCATTTTGCGAAGAAAGTTACAGATCTCTCCAAATATCGGATGACCAACACTACATCGCCGGAAACAGTAAGGCAAGACCCCACAATCCAAGCGATTGAACACTTGAAAAGCTCAATATTTTGCGATCGTTTCCTGCTTCCTCATCAACTGCTTCAGTGCATACGCCGTGAGCAGTTAAAAGGTTTGTGGCACGCAATCGGTGATGACAGAAACAATGCTGCTTTGGCCAAACTACGCCCTAGTTTTCTGAATATAGGATCAGCGTAACTGCTATGGTTCTTATCAAGACTATGGCCAGCAAAAACAAAATCGACGCCTGACGGCAATTAACAGACACCGAGCTACTTCCTCTTTTCTGAATAAAAGTTCTAACAACTTGCTTTTAATTGGTCTTGTCTGCAGTTCATTCAGACAAGTACTCCTGCTACAGGGAAGCTGTGTACGCTCAATAAAAGAAAAATTAATTATCGCTGAAACTAGACCAATAAAAGATAAGAAGCAGTTGAAGTTGATGTTTCTCAAAGCTAGATGGTGCTGCAGCAGTAAGACTTCGACCATCTGGCTTGTCGTGTGTGTATACTCAGTAACTGTGTCAAGTGGCGGGATTCCGCGTTACACTTTAAAAACAATTTGATGTGCCTGCGAAGAAAAGTGGAATTGATCAGATTAATTACACTACTTGTTGCTGCGTTAAATTCTATTTGTATTCCAGTGGCCCATAATAACTGCACTGAGCTAGGAATTTGGCTTGGTCTTCTAAGTTGGGAGAAGCATTGTTGACCAGCCGATGCAACCACCTTAGAGTTGAAAATTTAGTGTTATCTTTTTAAAAAAGGCTTCTGTTTATGGGGTAGGGAGAATCTTTTGAAACCGGTGCTTATGCAAGTAGGTAGGTTCATTATTTATGGATGAATCCTAGGCCATTTTTGGAGTGCACTTAATCCTACATTTCTGGCTCGTTGCTTAAAGGAAGGCAGTTCACTACACAGGCTCTCTCCAAGTATCATCATGCACGCGCCGTTGCTGGTATAGCTTCGAAGTTCCTACCACTCTCGGCTTTTTAACTTGCAGTCGCCACATACGCTGGTGCATTTACACTTACTCAACGGAAAGGTTTCAGCCCTATTCAATGCACGTAAAACAACCTATTGCATTTCACGTATTACCGTTTACTTTATCACTGTTATTTTAGCATGATTTTTGCCCAAACCTATGCACAAGTTTGCCTTCTCCTTCAAGCACCTGCCATATCGTTGCTCAGAAATCGCTTTTATGACACTCCAGGTAGATGTTCCTTGACCTGCTGTAGCCACGCCAGTGGAACCCTTTCAGCTAACCTCGCGTTGCTGTTCTGAACAGAGGCGGCACTCAGAGCTGGAAATTAGGCTGACAGTATTTGGAACTCAAAAAAGTGGCTAACGTTAAAAGACACCATGGCGTATAAAACGACACAACGGAAACAGTGCCTACCTGATCTATATGGTAATAGATAAAATTCACTGAAAAAAATCCTGCCACAAGAAAATGCAAATCAGAATAACTGATTACAAGTACCTGAAGCGTGCCCACGTAGCAACAGACAAAAGTTAGCAAGGAAACAGGATAAAGGAGTTCAGTTGGTTTTTTGCCTATGATCCTCCTACTCTTACAAACTATGGTCGTGCGAGTACAAAAATACGACAACATGATAGCAATTGTGAAGCGGGCAACGGCAGGTAGAACCGCTCCATCTGATTCAGGTAGTACAGACCATTTTTCTGTTGACGTAACTCCAACTCCGCTCTGAGACAGCGTAGCTAAATGTAGGGTATAGGCAAGAACAATATGCAGAACACGTAAACAGGCGAACAAGAGCTAAGAGATTCCAGTACGGGCTCGAATATGTTCGCCTGGTGTGTACCTGTGCTATTTGCTAAACAATCGCTTCCAAACTTATCTATACCACCAAATTCTGAAAATCTACACGTCCTTCGTTTTTGCATGTGTACCCAAGCAATATTAGTGCTTATATCTGCAACCACTTCAAGGAGTGTTGTGCATGAGAGAGGTACTGCCCATGCAGAGAGAAATACGCCAAGTATATTACCAAGGGATGAAGTCATATCCGGGCCAAAACGTTTGAACGCCCGAAAAAGAGAATAACTAGTTAATGCCATTATACTGCAAAGTAAGTGATTTAGTCGAAGGAACGCTCAAGTTTATCGTTAGACGACATGGTACAGCGAAACCACATTTTTACAGAACTGTCCTTTCTAGCTAAGCAAGTTTGTTTGGTTGCAATCTCAGTCCACAATAGAAAAAAGACTGATGCGAGTGACAATTCAGTCGGGTGACGAATCGGAGACCATTAGCTTACCAGTATTCTGTCTTCGGAATTCCTCAGGCATTACCCGCATCCACTCCAATATCTCTTGGCACCCGCATCCGAAAAGGAAGCAAATCCTATAAGACTACTGCAAACAATACAGCGAAGATCGTTTTCCGTCCATGGTGTTCCGAATGTCCAGAATTCCGATCAGTACCGAACTAAATCTCAAGACGTAAAGGAATGACCTTATAACAGTGAATCATCCTGTCACAATG